TATTACATGAATATAATATGACGTTATTACTTGTTAATTGTTATTCATTGTTATTTTTGGAAATCATAATACAGATTTTATACTTGGATTGCACGATAAATGGGTTAATTTCATTATTTGTAGCTGAGAAAAATTACAGCTTTGTAGAGAGAATAAGAGAGATCAAAGATCAGAGATCAGAGAGGATGATAGAGGGAGGTAGAAAACGCTAGTGAGATGGAGAGTGAGAGAGAAAGACTGAGAGTGAGACCCTTTATTTAATTATAGTTTTATTTTTTTTGATCGAGAGAGTCTTTTTTTCACCTTCCATGGGTGGCCCTGGAGGTGAGATGATTGTAAATGAAAACCCTACTGCTGTAGTGGGTCGAGGAATAGTCATTAACCCAGGCAAGGATAAATATTGCGGTCGATCGGGGAGATGCGTATACTAAGTGTACATATATATACACGAATACAGCAGGTATAATACTCTATAATTTGTGTTCTGTGTGCGTTTAATGTTTGGGTTTCGGGTGGTTCGGATGATGGTATACAATATTGTCCTATAAAAAAAACTTTATAACACCGTATTTAATAATACATAATAGCAGTACGACGCATACTCGTCTTGTTCACGCTGCAGAAGAAGTTCACGTCAGTTTTTGATTACGTACTGTGTATGTGCGAGAACGTTTCCGGTTTATTATTATCGCATGATGATTTTATTAATCGTAATAATAGTAATAACTAATAAGTATCGTCATTTATAAACGATCTTTTAAATAACTGATCCTGTATTAAGTAGCACTATATTACAGTATTAATTATGATTTATAATATATATTATTATGTGTGTGGTCTATTTCGTAATAATTCTTGATATTATATACACTACTAATTGTAAGCTCAACTGTTAATTTTAAAAATCGTTAGAGTATAATTTAAAAATGCTTGATAAGTTATTATTTAACCAAATGATTACTCCTTTTATTGATGTGATTTGTATAGTATTAATAATTAATTTGAATTACTCAATCAAAAGCATACGTCAGTTAACACTTACATAGCAATAGCTGGTAGCTTGTTTCCTGTACATATATTATACATTTAAGTATATATGATAGTGTAAAATATAAATATAACATTATAATGAATCTATTTGTTATTAAAATAATTTAGAAACTAAGTAAAATAAAATAATAATGTATTAAAGGATTTTCAATATACGTAATAATGCATGCCATATTAATATATTGCAGTATGAATGGAATATAGTGTACAATAATTAAATTTTTTTATAAAGTATTATAAATGTATACCTTTAATTTATATATTGATATATAATAATATACTATGATAAAGTGGCTTATAGTACGTGAATAATAATTTTTAACAAAACATAGGTACGTTTTATTTTAAAGTTATTGTAAGTGTATAACTGTTTAAGTGAAATTATATTGATTTATCGGTTATTTTACTGGTTGTAAAGATACTTAATAATTAATATACATTTTATACTAATCATAATCTCATTAATTATGATTTAATTTACATATGATCAGTACCTGCATAAGCCATTATCGCAACGAATAATATTAAATATTCCTAGAAATATAATTTGAATCATTCATTAAGAAAAATACCAATAGACAGGCTAGTACTTAAATAGCTAGACGTATTTCGATTATATTAATCATTTATTATATTGACTGTAGTTGTTTCACTATTTACTACATATGATTGAATGAATATAACATGTGTGTATCGTGTATGTATATGTACATAAAGTTATATATATTATATACATGATTATAAATATTTAGGTAGATATTGCCGACATTGAATTAATACGTGTAATAAACTATTAGTATTTACTATTTAGTGTATTACGAAATGCGTTTTGAGAGTTTACTTGACATAAATTTTTTTACTCATATAATTTAAATTTTTCTTGTAATTTATATATATATATATGTACATATGTGCATCTATATATACATTTCCACGAAAGGAAAATAATCTTTAATAATGCATGTATATTCATATAACAATACGAACCTTACAAGGGGAGATTGAATTTCACAACCCAGATCTACCTATAATAAGGCTATAATCATATTATGTAAATCTAAGAAAGTTAAGACTTTTTTTAGTAAAGAAGGATTCAGATTAAAAATGATAATAATGTAAGGTAGGTACTTCGCATATAGTTGCAGAAGTATATTTTATACAATTTTCTTTAGCTAGAATAAAAATATCAGTTTCATAAATATTTTCCATTAAGATTTAAAATTATTTTTTACTACTTAGTGTATAGTATTAGTGCAGTACATTATATCCATTATACGCAAGCAACTTTTTGTCGTGTTTTTATAGTAGAAGAAAAATTAATTTAGTACTGAAAAGAAAAACTATTTTGAAATTCAACACAGTTTTTAATTATTCTTGCTTATATTATGTAGTGAAAATAAATTATAGCCTACAGGGACAAATATTCGATAGGTATGTTATTTTATTACACTTACAATTTTCACACACGGTTAATATTGTAATATATCGCAGAATTAGTTGTTTTAATGAGTTGTGATTTTATATTTTTGAATATTGGATATAAATGGACAATGGCATTTAGCTAATGATAATAAAGTATGTATTTACCAAAAATATTGTATACATAGTAGTTGCGTTTCTCTAAATAATGCTTTGTGCTACTATTAATTATTAGAAATAGAGAAAAATAATAAAAATAATAACAATAATAATACTTAGAAGTTAGAATCGTCACAATCATTAATAATAGCTTTAATGAAGTATTTCGTTGATATTTATTTATACTTAATTTGTCATTGTATTTGTCATGTTTCTAACTCCTTTTTTCATAGAAAAAATTCATTATAATTTATGCTGAAAAAAGGACATTCTTTACTAATTTGTAGATTTGGAAGAATATGATACATTTTGTAAGCAAACAATATTATTGAATTTATTGATAATTTCCAGAATGAGTAAAAATAATTAAAATCATTTCCATTCTGAATTTGAATCAATTCAATTTTTAGATTTTTATTTAAACTCAAAAAAAACAAAATAATATTATATATCATGTTAATGTAGAAATATATTATTCGTATCTTTAACGTCTATTCATTATACATAATATGATTTAAAAAAAAAACAACATTAAATTTAATCTAATGACATGATGTAGATATGAAATATTATAAGTTTATTTATGCGTAGGTGTCTGAAAAATAAATAATTTTGGGTATTTACCTTATGGCTTATGGAAATTAAGTATAGATATGTGACGTAAATATGTAAGTACGAATAAACAGGAAAATGAGATATTTTATTTCAAAATATATGATTACTTTTTAATAATAGATTTATCTCTACCTACTATTTTTTTTATAATACAATCAAAAAAAAAAAAAAAAAAAATAATAATAATAATAATAATAATATTTTTATTTAATAAAATTATACTATTATTTATTTTTATTTACAAAATAAATATAAAATTATCATGACGATATATTATTAGCATTCATCATGTGCTTTTAAAAAGTAAAGTGCTTCATGTTTTTATTAAATATAGTTTATTTTTTATAAAAAAAATTGGTATATTTATGTAGTAGATATTCAATAAAAATTTTAATTTAATGGTATTGTACGAATTCATTTGAAAAAAAAATTACATTAGCTATTGAAACGCATACTTCACAGTTGCGTTAGAATCGATCGCATTTTATAAAAACAATCATAACGATTTAGAAATATAGTTATTGTATCACGCTACTCTATAAATATAATTGTCAGAAAAAAAAGTAATACTAACGTGCGGTAGGTATATTATTATATCAGGTACGTATTATGTCGGTATCAACTATAAACCTATTATACGCGTGTATGGAGAAAAAAATAATCGCACGCGAAAAGGCCAACATAATTTGCACTATACAGTGCACGCACGCAAATATATCTATATACATATAATATGTGTATGTAACGGTAAAGCGTAAAATCGCTGCTTTTACGGCGAAATCGCGGTCCGACTAAATATAATATGTATATATAAATATACTTATATAATATATAAATGTATACACTTATATATCGCCGCTAGGATCAAAGAGACGATGACGACGTTAGATGAAGACGTGCCGCTTGTGGGATATAATTAACCGACTATTTTTCTGCGATTCTATTGCAGACCGAGACGGATTTAATTGAGACCTTTCGCTGGATGTATAATTCCTAATACCTCACACATCGTGTCGGTTTATAATGCGCAGTGTATACATCACCGAGGGACGACGACCCCTGCCGCCACTACCATCACCACAATATACAACCACGTGGATTAAGTATTATGTATACTTATATATATATATATATATACGATTGTACCTATATAATATAACTATAATATAATAATAATATATCATATTATGTGTTTTTGGCAGACAAAAGACCGAAAAAGGGGCGTCGTTCAAGGTGCAAAAATAACTTTATATATATAGTATAGCGTGCTGACGAGAAAAACGTAATGAAAATCCATTTTAAATTATCATGTATGTATGTATACAAATATTAAGCGCAAGTCGCGGTCATGCGACTAAATTAAATATTACTTATTATTCAATTATTTTACTTATATATTATTTCATGTTACGCTATAAGTCGGTTCAGCATGTCGTGCACGACCGTCAAAAACAAAAAAAATTCCGATCGGACGACGAACGACTGCAGCAACAGCGCGACCGTTCGCAGCGATGACCCGCGGGGGTCTCGGGACCCGTGACATAATAGGCTGTGGTTATTAGGCGTGCACGTCAGCCCGAGGATCGCATCATATACACTCTGTGTATAACCAATTACGAGGTTCGGGAGGCGTGTCGTGTCGTCGGCGGCGGAGGCCGTATTCTCTCTCTTTCAGTAGTGTATGTATATATATGTTACCCGCTCTCCCAGCCGTTCGTGTTTCCCTCTGGCTGATACCGCCGCCGCCAACGACGAAGACGGGGCATTAAAGTCTCCGACGTCATACAGTCCGCGTGTGCACGCTCTTCTTCGTATACGTATACGCGCGTAAATGTACCGCGATCGCATATCGTACCTAAGTATGCGATAATAATAGTAAAAAATAATAATAATATAAAATCAATTGTATGCGACGAGATTATTAACGTTACGATAGTGCGTTACGCCGGGCCGGTTTAAAAATAGCTCAGGATCATCGTTACGCCTAGACCATTATTACAACGCGTATAAAATAAATTTACTAATATTCATCAGATATTAACGGATCAGCTGCAGCTGCAGTCGTAAATTGTAATAATAATATGCATGCGCCGTGATTCCCGTCAATATATACGCGTTATCGTGCAAATAATATTTTGATTCGCCGAGTTTCGTGTCGTTAGATCGATGCCCGTCGTCGGTCGGTAACTGCGTCGCGGTGGCGCGCGAATTCCGTCGGCCTTCGGCGGGTGCGGGAAGCATGCTTAAGTGATAATAACGCCACAAAAACAGCGGATCGTGGCTATCGGTATACGGGACGGCCCCGGGGGCATGCCGCCGGTTTCATAGGGCTCCGCTGGCCCATTATGCGCACAGTCCAGACGGGTATCATCATCAAGGCGTTGTTTTGGAACATTTTGTTGGCCGTCAACTTCAGGTGAGCTATAATATTCTAAAAAATACCGTAGGTACACTGGACGATTTATAAGAGTACTATTGGCCAATGCCGTCACTTTCGTAGTTATAATATTATGTATTAAGTTGCGGCAAATAATAATAACAAAAATAAAGATTAACCGCACCAGCTAATAAAAAATGACAAATCAAACCACTTAATTAGAATTATAGATAGTATATAGGTTAGTTTTAATATATTATATATACATTATTTAGAATTCGTATTTAGCTTGTAAATTTATATGTAATGCATAATGTATGACTATCCCACAGGCTTATAAATTATAGTATTATATATCTGTATAAGACAATAGTCAAACATTATAATAGTTTAAATATAAGCGCGTATAACAACTATTACGTCTTAATAATGTTGCACTCTATATATGATTTGATTTGTGCTTACCCTGGAGGAGATTTTCGTTCATAAATATAAGAGTTATGTATACTTAAAGGTACACTGGTTTCTGTTATTAGAATTTATATTTTTATACAGTAGTCTTAATAATTATAGGAATAGTAACTTTAGTATACATTCACTGAACTTTAATCCTTATCGTGTATTAAATCCCCATCTAATAACTATAAACAATTTACTGACATAATTTCCAAGTATCCACATTTATTTTATATTTTAATTATTTATACCATATATTTAATTTTAACATTGAGTTTATATGTTATATAATTATACTGGAATCACTAAAGACTGTAGTCGAAACGAACAAAATTAGCATATATTTTTTATATTTACATAATACGTATAAGCTCCAAGTATAAGTTATTGTTCTATAGTCTACACAATGACACTAATCCTATATTTTATTTTAATCAATTTTACTGCTTATATTGTTAGTGCAAATAGACTCATAAATGTTGCTGAGTAAAACGGTGCGTTCTAAAAAATGCCACTGTATAATTTAATTCAAACAGAGCTTATAGGTAATCGCATTTTCCGGATTTTTGTTCTTCTTAAATCCAATTTATAAACCGAACCAATATATACATCCCCCTTTACCGCGTGATTAATGCGATAACCGTCCTACAGACCCCAAACCACGACGAATTACCCCGGAGGGCTTTCTGTTATTCGGTCTACACCAATGCGAGAGGTAGTGCGATGAACAAATATCTATAATGGACACTCTTGTGCTTATCGTGGAACATATTTCATATTTTTTTTAATCCACAGCGATGTAATAAAATAGGTTGAGTTATATCCATTCGTCGCTAAATCGAATAAAAATCGATCGTTTATCACATAGACTACAGACTATATTATTATTTATTTATAACAATTATAACACTCATATTATTATTGTTAGTGTAACTGTACATATTTATACATATGCATATAGATATATTTTATTTTATAATATGTGTGTAGTATACTAGTATGTCATCAACAAAAATTTGATAACAAACTATATTATTATTGAAATGCCAAACGAACTTAAACGTGGTATCAGTTCACACCGGCTCACGCCGTATACACAGTTAAATATTTATAATATTATTTTACAAGATTCCGTAATTAGGAATAATGGTTTTCACGTTTGCATAACATCTTACTGCCATTCATACCCGTTGTAAAATCGTGTGTCATACTTTAAAAATTTCGTTATTGGAAAAATAATAATGTGCTGTTGCAAAAATGTCGCACGTCAACAATATTTATTTTTATTACGTCCAAGATGAGCAAGTATAATCATTGTCCGCGCGCTGTGTCCAGGTAGACTACTGCAAGTGACAGTCCGCCGAATAATGCGCTGCACTGAACGCGTGTGGTGTGTGTGCACTTCTGCAACAGACGGGCCCTTGAGGCATTACGCGTACATCGCCTTCGCTGCACACTGCAACATTATAATAATATTACAACAACCAGTTGGAAATACCTTCGAAATACTCGGCCGATCGTAAATAATTACGCCATTTAAAGAAATTGAGAGAGAGAAAAGAAAAAGTCAAACGTTCGTAATGTATTTATCAGCGTTTCATTGTCAAAAAATCGATTATAAATCAAATTCGCTAAAAACCATTTCGCAAATCATATTACGAGTATATCTATACGTGACGTGTATGTATAGATACGTCCCGCGGCAATGGTAAGCGCGAAACTCTCGCAGTTATTTGTATATATATAATAAATATGTTATAATATACAGTTTTGAACAATACGTAATAAACATTCACCGAACGCCGCTCATATTATATTTATTACAATAATATGTACCTATAACTTAAACGTACCGGATGATCCATTTAACGTAAAACAATCATTATTTCTAAAAATATTAATATTTAAAAAAATATTTTTCTTTGATAGTTTTAAGACTTCGAGAAATAAAATTTTTCTAAACAGTTATATTTTTTGATCTTCTAATTTTTTAATGACAACAAGAATTTTTAATTCCGTATTTTAAAGTATAATATTTTTTAGTGTAGGGGAAAGCGGGGTAGTTTCATACGAGAGACAAAACCGTATAATAAGGTTTTTTGAACATTGGGTCAAGATAGAAAAAAAAAAAATGATGGACGTTTATTTATCCATGACTGTATGTTTATTATTATTGACAACTATTATTAACCTCATTTGTAAAAAATTCCCGCTCAAATTCTTAGGTTAGGTTAGATAATATTATAAAATATGTAAAATCACTATTTTTTTTTTTTCATTTATTACAATTAAATATTTTTACACTTCATTTTGTTTAATGTAAAAGAAAACGGTGTCAAATTACGAAGAAGTAAGTACTGATTATTTAATAATAAAATTTGGAGAAATATTGCTTATATTTTTTTATTCAATTGGTATTATTTGAAACATTGAAACCATTTAATGTGAGGCAAAAGCGTATGGTATACGGAATTCTCCGTCGTTTTAAACGTGGCTATATATTATTACGTGTTATAATTTACTTGATAACTTTAACGTAGATTTTATTTTATAAATATTTCATTAGGTAGAGTTATATTTATTTTATTATTACTATTTTATAATTTATATGAATATCAGAATATTCAAACATGTTTTGTAATTTTAAAAGTTTATGATGTAAGGTTAAACATTCTAAAAAACTACCATACAAAATGTTGTTAATTATAAAGCGAATATGACATGTGTATTAAAAAATGCAAAATGCTTTCTTAGTGACGTTCTCGGGGTTATTTACTGTGGAAGGGAATATTGAAATGTATTGAAAAGTGAGCCTATGGTTAATTAAAAAGTGATATCAAGGATTATTTAAGCTTTCTACAGTGATAATGAGTCAGAAAAATAAATATTTATTAACACTAAATACCAATTAAGTACAAAAATCGTTTTAAAAGTACCTAAAATAAATCTCTATTTCTTACCCCCTCTCCACTGTGTGAAAACGCCCATGACGCTTTAATGTAATAGATAAATATTCGATAAAAGATGAAATTATTAAAAATAATTTATGTTATTGAAACATTTTTTTTCAAGGGTATTGTGTATTATCGATATTATTTCTACTATTTTAAATCATTAAACTATCATACGATCTTATCTCAAGACTATTTGTAATATAATTACGCAATCCAATTTAAAATTTTATAAGTTCTTCAACGCTTAGAAATTAGTATAGTACTGTTCTGAACCACATTCCTCTACTATCATACATAATACTCGAATTTTGAACGAGTTTAGTTAATAAGTTATAAGTATTTAAAATGTAAATTATTAATAATAGAATTGTTGAGTGGTGAAAAGGTTGGTATTCTGTTCCGTGTTTTTTTTTTTTTTTTTGGTTTACGGTCATTGAGGTTTGAGACCATACCGCCAAACAAATTTCCATGTTACTAACTTAAATTACTTATTTTAACTAATCGATTAATTCTCCAAAATTTGATTTTTATACTTTTATATCGAAATATTCAGTGTATTATTCCTAAGAATATAAAATTAAAAATATATCTTGTCATTCTATTCTAAAAAGTAAAATTTAAAAAAAAAAGAAATTAAAACTATATAAATTATATAATTTATTCTTTTCTAAAAATGTTGTTTTGTAATGATTTACAGTTATGTAAATTAAATATTTTAAAATTTGTATTTAGTAGTTTCTGAAATAATGAATGTTTTTCGTTGAGTAAATCACCTAGTAACATTAAATATTTACCTGCGACTATATTATATGTATATATATATATATATTTGCACAGTTTAGTTAAATATTGACGTTCGATTTTCTCGTCGAATTGTTTCAATCTCTTGGCTCACACCAACGCGCGTTATTGTATATTATTTTTGTTGTCATAATTACTATTATTGTGATATTAAACGATAAGATTCGGTAAACTTGCCACACTTTAAATCTTATACGTTGTATTACTTATATGCATATACATGTCTATAATACTACGTAAGATACAGATTAATGATGATGCTGCAGGACTCCGGTAATATGCGTTTGACTTATCTGCGGCCTGTATGATGCAGGTACTTAAATAACGTATTGTATGCGCGTCTTCAGAATGTCCGTGAATGTCATATTATATGTGCACGATAATAATATTAATATTAAAGTGGCAGTAACTTATTATAATATTATTGTACACCACTGCATGCGTCTTATGTCTTTGCGATGTCCAATAATGTACGACGTCTGTCCGTCCGCAGACTATAAATGTTTTGTCAAAAGACTAAACTTCTTTTATTATATATTATACCATATATATCTACCTACGTGAAATCGATAGTAGTCGCGGTCGTTATTCGTTTATCGTAATGTGTACCTATAATCATATTTTTACGATTTATATTGAACAGATTTTATACATACAACACTAGCTATTACAGGCACCGTAAAAGGCTAATAATATATGTATCGCCGACAATATATATATATGGTATATAATAATGTTATGTTGATGTAGTGGCTGAGGTATAATTCTCAGAAAAGTTCAATAATATACTAAGTGATCTGTGTACGAGAATATTAAATTTTAAAACTG